GAGGTTGGATAGATAGCTGGATGTATGTTGGTGTTGTATGATAAGATTATTTTGTTTTTGTCGCTTGACATTTAAAAACGAAATACAAGATATTTACACTTTAATTTCACTTTAAATAAAGTACTATTATCTGGAAACCTTTTGTCTAGTTAAATATTTTATTAGCTAAAAATCTGCCAAGAACTTTTGCCTTGTTGGACATTTTGGCTTTTAAAAACGTGGGTATTTATTTCTAGTTAAAATTGTGCAGTAAATCTGATCTTGGAAAAAAAAAACCTCAGGCACACGTTCACAATATCATGATCATTCTGATCCAACCCCTCCCCCCTTTTTCTCCCCTTTATTTTATTTGTTTGATTGGGATTTTCTTTACACAGAAAGTGGCTCTCAAGGATTTTTCCAACGAGGTGCGCGCCTCACGTGACGTGGAGAGCTATTTAAAGAACATGTCGCTCCTGCTTAACCTTCACTCCTCCAGCCTGGACGAGCTCATAGAAATGTGTCTGAAGAAGATGCTGGCGAACAAGCTAGACAGCCGAGCCTACGACCAGGCTAAAGCCGCTCTCTTCACGCACGACTTTGGTGAGTAAGGGGTGGGGGTTGGAGAGGGGGGTTAATTTCGGTGATTACTCTTTTTTTTTCTCCTTTTTTTGGGGGGGGGGGGTACTGGGGAATTGCTAAGCATGATAGGAGGGCTTACGACCACAGACAAAGGCTCCGTATCAGAGTCTGTGGTGTTCTGGATATGTGCTTTGCCATCACACACGGAAGATGTGCGTTTGGTTCTGGTGTTGGGCTTTTTAAATGAAGTAATTCCATCTGTCTGCAGGGACATTGTATCCCTCTTTGCCTGGGCTCATGGCTCTTACTGGCAGAGTCGAAGCAGCCTGCCCCTAAATTATCCATATTGTGTTAAAGGGCAGGGGCGAAGCGTCTATATAATCAAATAATCACTGCTTCCCTTCCTAATTTTGAAACATTGTCGCTGTCAAATTCATCCATAAACGTAAACCTCTTAAATTAAATGTCAAAAAACGTTCGTAATCAACAATGAACAGTATGCCTAACATTCAAAACGGTTTCACGGCCACAGAAATAGTCTCCTCACCCCTCTCGGGCCACTCCATAAGCAGTCGCAAGCTTTGATTAAGTAAGCTTAAAGTGAGGCTGGAAGAGTCCACCAATTTAGTTGAAGGGAACATGTGCATAGCAGTCTAAGCTGTTTCATTGCCACATATACCCTGTTCACCCCTTTGGGGTCACAGTTAAAATCAATCTCAAGACCTGATTATGTAAGTTAACTAACACTGGTCGAGTCTACCTCACAAATGTGAGGGGAACTAACTCCTAACAATCTCTTCACTGTTGCAAGTACTTGCTTTTTTCCCTCGACTTTTTACCGTCCTATAATCAGATCGTGACCTCGATTATGACACCAGCTCCTGAAGGCTAACAAAAACAGCCAAATGTAAAATTTAAAAAATGATAATTGTCAGGTTCTACCAAAGAGTTAGACTCACTGGTAGATCTATAACATATAGATCTAGTACTGACGTCTCTGCTTCTTTGCTTTGTGTTTATGTAATCACATCTAAAGTTAAATTTAGTTTTAGTTGGAACTGATATTTAATAAGATACTTTCCTGATTATTTTGGCGGTTGAACATACAATATGAATTCCGGATTTTCATTCACAACTCAGAGTCGCCGCCTCGAGTAAGATTCTTGTGTCATATATACAGGCCATATCTGGTCCCGTTTCACTTTGATTACCCTGTCAAACAAGTCAGCCTTCGCCCCTGTTAAAGGGGACGTAAAAGACCTGCATTTAAAAAAAGAAGGCTGCTCTCTCTCATCGCACACAACTTTGGTGAGTTTTGGAGTGAGGATTTTTTTATTTTTTTTTAATTTTTTTTTGGGGGGGGGGGTAATAGGAAATTCTCTAGGGATAATGATACCAAAGGGTCCTCAAAGGTGAATGGTAATTTGGAATTCTCAAGGGAGATAGTAATGGGAAATTTGGCGGGTGGTTGGTTGTAGGGTGTCCCTGGAAGGTCCTATTTCTGTTCTCTCCCTTTGTTGTTTCTGTCTGTCGTTTTGCTTTTTTTCCCTGCACCAAATGACCGTTATTGTGTCAGTGTCTTTCTCTTTACCCAACCCAAATCAAACAATGCTCGATTTTGATCAAATTGTATCCCACTTCCTAGGAATTCCCCCATGACTGGACCTATTCATAGTACCAAAATGTCGTTTCCTATTTCAGCCCAGATGCCAGATTGGGTCTAGTCAGGGTTCTTAAACCCTGGACGACATTTTGATGAACGTAGTAACATCTCGTTTTACTGTCTTTTCTTCGTCGAAGGCAAGACACGCCATCCTCAAGAAGGATGTATCTGCCTTTTTTTAAACTTTACTTATCCTGTTTACGTGTGGTAATATAAAAAAAGCAGTAAATCCTATGTGTAATCTCATACAAGCAAAGGTGAAAAGATCAAATAAATCCAACAGTTTATATATCCAAGATATGGCAATTATTCCACTGAAACAAACGTAAAATTGCAATGGCTAAAAACCATTTCTATAAAATGAGCCCAATCTTGAAAAATAGAAACATTTCAATGCTGTGTGTGGTCAACCCATCTGTGTGGCTTTGAATGTTGGACAATCACTGAAACAATGAAAAGAGAACAGAAGCAACAGAAATGCAGTTAACTGGAAAACTGCTTAGAATGTCGTGG